CAGGAAGGGAAATTTTCCAATTACTTGCTATTCACATTAGGAGCTCTTGAAACATCATACAGTTATCTGTCCACTGCCATAGCTTTATCTAAGATGGATAATTAAGGATGCCATAGTTCCTCTTTATCTAGTTGATGTAGTTGAACTCTTAAATGTTCTGTGGAACAGGATCTCCATTTCTCTCCAGGATGAGGACCAACACCCACAACAGCTGAAGCAAGCCAAAGAGGATCATAGCTGCCTAATGTGAAGACCAGGCTTTATTAATCCAAATTATTCACAACTGTGGGAGAAACAGACACCATAGATGGACCTTCTGTTTCTCTGGGCCACAAACATGAAGGGAGATGCGAGACTGCACGTCCTGGTCATACAGAGAACAGATCATTTCTAAAGCTGTACCATAACATACGATGCCAGAAAGACAAAGGTCTGTTGCAGTGCTGGCAGCTATCCCACTGACCAGGATTCCTCAGTCAATGCCTCACTGACTGTTGCCGGCACTGAACCAAGCACAGCCACTATGTGGAAACATTTCTTCAATGGCACAGGGTGGGCAGGTTCTTTCTGCTAGACTGTGCTCTCGCTAGGCAATATTCTGAGCAAAGTTACTGACCTCCTCCGCAGGTTTTGCCCCTCATCACTGGAATGACCTGTTTGGGTCCTAACTTGAATACTGAAGATCCCGGTACTTTTGTCTCTCTGCACCTTTGGGTGTCACCCACAGGCTGGACAGAGCATCTGAAGGCATCTGGTACCTTCCCCCCCTGCCAGTACCAGAAAGGATTAGGCTCAGCAGGCAACTTCTGCAAGCGAAGCCTGAGCTGCGCAACCTGTACCTTACGGGTTCTCCAGCAGCAGGTGCATGATACCACTGGAAAAGAAGAGGCATCCACTTTGCCCGCGCTTACCAATATTTGTACCCAAGACCTGCGCAGGAAATGGGTGCTTGCAGCTACACTTTATGGAGCGCATATACTTTTCTTCATGCCAAGTGAAATAAGCAAATTTTTCTTTCTACTTTAAATGTAACTGCCTTTCCCCTTATCAAACCTCCCTACTTGCTTCGCTGTTGTTCAAATTAATAATCGATCTTGCATGATTAGACTAATGAAGACAACTTTTTTTCCCTTTCACATGCTTGTAAAAAAAAAAAAAAAAAGTACTTCTTCCTTCAGCTTGTCAGCTGTCTTCATTCTGCATGGTTTGTCTTTTTATATCTTTTAATCACTTTAGCTGATCTTCACTGAACTAATTGCAACTGGTCCATACTTACCCCATAGTACTATGCCAAAACCAAAATACAGTGCTTTGACACCAGGGACCTTTCAAAACCTGTATTCTTTCAAAGTGACTACTGATAAATACCAACATATTTCATTTACCTGCTACAATTCCTAGCATTTTTGCATTCATGCCACCAAGACAGAATTACTGTACTGAATCTTGACAAAATTCCCTTTGAACAGTTCTTCCCAATTAACCTAAGCTCACACATTCTGTTTTAGTTTATATGACTTTTTTGCCGGTTTCTAGTTTTGTATTACCCATTAGTTTATTAAATGCATTTGCTACTGTATTCTCTAATTTGGAAATGCAGAATTTTGTTTCAAATCCGTATTTCGTTATATTTCAGATTTTTATCCAACTCTGTGTTAGCGAATCAGAGTAAATCAGTCTGGTTACAAACCACTAACTTCGAGTTCATTAATTCACACTGTCACTTGTCTCAGATCAGTGGCTAACTTAAGACTTCTATCAATCCAACTTTATTTCTTTCTCCTAGGACTGTATTGTATCATTTTTCTTATGGACAGTCGTTTAAGACATGTCATTAAACCTCACAGGTCATGAAAGCCCAGTTTAGCTCAGTACTCTGATGGGATGCTCCCAGAGGAACTCCCAAGCTCCATCACTGAAATCAAAGAAAGTTTTATATTGACTTTTAGCTTTAAAAATTTGGCTTACTTTCCATCAAAACTCTGCTGCTTCAGTATCTTCAAGTAACATGAAAATAATTTTTTTAAACAAATGGATTGTAGGTTTCCTGAAAAGCAGTAATGGTTCCATGTGGCAATACAGGAACGTGAAACATGGGACCACACCTTAATGGTGACGCCATCGCACTCGGCGCAACTACAAAATAAAGACTGGAGTAGATGGTCCTTCAACACAGAAGTCAGAAACAAGTTTGTTTCATGAACACAAAAGCATGTTTGCAGAAAAAACCCACAACCTTTCTCATGATAAAGATGAAAAATTTAAGAACAAAAACTTCTGCATCTTAATTAAAAATTAAATTCTACAGATTAGCCATGTACAAGAGTGACATCACATTTGAGTAGCTTCTCTTGTACTCCCATGAAATGCTCTACAGTTACATCTAACAAAATAATAAAGTTAAACAAAAATCCCAAAACAGGGACTGAGGTTGAGCAAGAACTGAAATAGTTTACCTAATTTATAATGGCTATAAACCAGAACTGTAGCACCACGACGATTGTTTTACAGAGAAGAGTACTTTAAAAATTTCTGTGTGAGGACAAAGTAAAAATTCCTCTAATCTGTGCTCCAAGTGAGTTCATTACATTTTCCTAATTGACTGTATTCTAGAGGCAGCTTTTTACTTTCATATTAATTTTTCCTTAATTGCCAAAAGGGTACATCACGTATACCATCTCCTTTCTATATAAAACAAGCTGTCAGAACTTAAAATGTATTGAAATTTGGCCAAAGCAGTCTTTTATACACCAGCTGGCGAGCTCTCAAACCACAGATGAGGTCTAAACCACTACGTGGTTATATTTAAGATGCACAAAGGAAAAAAAAAAACCACCAAAACACTTGCATAAAAATTACAGAAGAACAAAATACAGAGTTGCTATTACTCACGCGGAACTAGCGAGGGAGCTGCTAGTTACAGCGTGCACAGGGAAGGCGTACACAGGGCCTCTCGCAGCTGCAAAGTCGCGATCAATAGCGCGCACCCTCTTCCCACAGGGAAAGTGAGAGACTATGAACCATTAAAGCACTTAGACACTGTTAGGTACTTCTGTAGATTTGAACACTTATCAATAAAACCACAAAGCGGATCGCCCAAGGACTTCAGCCTATCCAAACTGCTGGTTTAGACTATCCAAAGACTTGAGACTATTATCCACCATTGTTAGCAGATGTAGTGATGTCGCTTGTTAAGAGATGGTTTATTTATTGTTGTTATAAGTATTTTTGTTATTCTCATTTTTTAGTCAAAGTTTGAAAATAAAAATACTTGGTACAAGTTGAGAAACGTCTTTTTGGAGACAGCATTTCCTCAAAGACTGACCAAGAAGGCAAACCCAGAGACTGGACATGCCTCATCCTTCAGTAATTAATGCTAATTTATTCTTTAAAAAAATAAATGTATCCTGATACACCTTTTCCCTGAAAAGCCTCAACCCGAAGCTTAATCTGCTCAGTTAGATGCAATAGTGCTCAGCCACTCTGAGTTTCCAGGGCTTCAGCTATCCCAGAATAGGAACTTGTCTTCCTTGACTGAAAAGTCATGTCAATATTACAGCCTACACTAATTTACTTTGTTTATGCTGGCAATGAACCTACCAAAACTTAACGTGTCTCAAAGCTATTCATATGCTAAATGATTTATGGTCAGAAATACCATCACCATACCTTGATTTTAAATTCCAGTTGGGAGTTAATGGTATACATCATTTCCGTCCTTTCCATTTTCCGAGCACCTTCATTGCATAAACGCACCAGCTAGAAACGAGACATTTATTTAACAGCTTTAATGTACTTAAGATTTGTAATTAATTCTTGTTACTTTATAAAATGCCTTTCTGAGGAAGCTTAAAATCTACAAAGAACTGACATTTTCATGCTGGGTCACAGTCGTTTTCAAGACCAGACTGAACGCAGCTCAGTGACCTGGTCTGACTTGACAGCTGACACTACTTTGAGGCTGGACTGGATGAGCTCCCAAGACCCCCCTCAACCTGAATTACCCTGTCATACTGTGCTGATTATTTATTCTTCAGGGGAGTCCAGATGGTACAAAGGTTCAGCCAGAAGTTCTGACTGAGAAGGGTTATAGCTCTCTGGTCGAAGTTAATGATCAGCTCCAAAATAAACAACCTTCCAGACTGACACACCAGTGTGACATGCTGCTGCATCTACCACGCACACCCAACTCGTTCCTGGAAGAAAGTCCCAACACAAATGTTGCGGTACCACCATGTTAAACCAAGGCAAACAGCACCCCAGGAGAAGTTTCATTGCAGCTGACCTCTAGAACACAATTTTAAAGCATGCCACCGTTTGACTGAAGCCTGCACATGGGGGTGGGGAGCACAGAAAAACAGGGGAGCAAAGACAGAAAGGCATGAAAACGCATTCCCTTAACCCCACATCATCACGGATGGGCTTCCCAACCGCCAACGGGCCTTCTCTCTTTTCGTAATCAAACACTTTGCACACCACATACTGTTCCTACAGAAAAACCCAATTGTGCTGGCAGCAGTACAGCATTGCTGAATTCAGGGTATTTTCCTAAGTAATGAACATGTAATTTAGGCATAGAAACAACCCCTAGCGGCCTTTCTTAAAAAAAGAAAAAATCAGATTTTTCATCCTTTAGTGCTCTTCCCGTTTGCATTGTTTATGCATGGAAGACATCAATTTTTCCCTTAAAATAGACAAGAATGTTCAAGACCCAAGGTAACTCTAGCCCCAGTGTGCACAGAAAGATTTTTTTTTAATAAAGAATTCCCAATGCTTCACATTTCACAACAGTCTATGATGCACTACAGTTTCTGAAATTCTAAGATCTCGGAGGCAAAAAATAGCCAATCCTTAGATCTTCTTTTCATACCATAATGTTCTGTTTAAAGAGTTGTCTATTTCCAGAATATAACTACATTAAACATGGATTGGAATTGCCCACCAATTTTAAGAAAATTTTTAAGAAAATTGGTAATATGATTGCTCAGGTTCAAATGGAAGGAACCAAAATTTATTACACAAGTAAGCGCATGGAAATGGGACTTGTGCTGCTCTTCCATCTTGATTCTTGTGGAAAAAGCATGACTACAGGAGAAGAGCTCAGCTTTGAACAACTGACAGAACTTACAATAAAAGCAGAAAGAATGCTGAAGTTTGCCTAGAAGATTCAGATTTTCTTTTGCCTACTGTTCTGGCTTTTTTTTATATTTATGGTCCACCATATGGCTTTCTGTTGGAATGACTGGCAGCAAAAAGAATAAATTTGTCCAACTACACAATGGAACAGGTGAACAATATGCTTAATGAACATGGAAATTAATTCTCACATGACTAACAAAAAACAGAAGCAGCCACTTCTCGCAGTGGATTTTCGAAATGACAAAAGTATGCAGTGCAATTCAGGAAGGGAAACGATCAAAGCAGAAAAAATTCTACAACCATGTCAAACCCCTAAGAACATACCTTGCTCACTTCTTTCAGAGCTCGCTTGCAGTTCTCATATTTTGGTGAATCCTTAGGGGTTTTCTGACAAATAGTCTGAAATAAAATGTCCATTACTTCAGAGGACTAAGCAGCACAGACTGTAACAAATACAGAATTTTACATGCATATTAATTGAAATCAAAGAGGTGAAGTCGCAGCTGTGGACAGGGATAAATGAGAGAACACTAGATCACTTCTTCAGAGTGTTCTGTGACACTAAGGAATGCCTCCCTTGAAGGCTTTCTGGAGCAAAGTAGTGTTTTGCACCTCTTGGCCAACCTCCACCCATGGCAACATGGTGGGAGAGGCAGGCCATATCCTTCCAGGAAAGGGAAAGTTTCTCCTGTCTTGTCTCTAGCTTTTTGCAAACAACAATGAAACCCCACTGCAGCCGTACATCATCAAGTCCCTCCTGTTTCAAGTACCATGTTAAGCTTTTCCTGGAAGCTGAAATACCCATTTATGCACAACCGTACTTGCAATAAGAAAACTGTACCAGATTACTCTGTCTGACCTCTTTAAGGTAAGTATTTCCAAAGGATTAAGAGAAAATACTCTTAAGGCTACACCGTTTTATGTGTACCATGGAAAAATATGCATAACTATTACTTTACTAAAATGAGGAAGCACACGGAAGAGAAGACAGCTGCAGCATCCAAACAGAGGAAGCACTGGAAAGTAATGAGAAGGAAAATCGATCTACGAGTTACACAGGAGAGTTTTATCTATTGACAGAGTTCATTCTCGTGAGTTAATGACTAAGTCCTACCAGAAACAGACATTTTAAATCAATGACAGACCAGTTAAATCACTTTTTTGATTGAGAAACAAAACCATCCTAAGATGTGTTACATTAAATTAGTTAAACCAAAGACTATGTTCCCTCCTCTCTGAATGTAGTTGGAGCCATGTTTCTGGTAGTAAAATCTTAAAAACTGAATTAACTCTGAATTCTCAATATAAGGTTTACACAACCATCTCCAAGAAAAACAAATAAACAAAACTGAAACAGTGGCAAATAAAAGGCTTGGTTTGCTCCTTTAGAGTCTTTTAGCTGAAGAGGAGAAGGAGGCGAAGAAAAACAACAAGAAGGGGAAGGCACAGCTAGCGACACCCCATTTTTTTTAACCTAGAAGTGTACTGCAGAGAAGAGAGTATTCAGTGTCCATAAATGAACTAAGTAACTATCCAGATGATCAAATTTATCAGTGCCCAATTTGCAAATATGCAGGAGAACAAAATTATTACTCTCACTTCTGGATCCTACCAATGCTAGAACGTCAGCCTGGATTTTAATCTGCACTATTGCTGGTGGCCAGCTGATAAATTTAGTTCTAGCATCTTAACTGAAATACCATGAATCTCGGTGTGAACTTTGCCTCACAAATACTCAGTGGCACTTCACCACACTTCCTAAGACACCCAGTAACCTGTACAGGAAGGGAACATCTTGCAATGTAACAGGCTGGCAGGAAAGCGAGTGTATCAATACTGTTCCACTCACGAGTAGCTCCCATGCCCACGAGGACCAAGTTTTGTTCTTCAGGGTTACACCTGACCCTCTTAACTGAGGGTCTTAATGGCTCTGTTCCGGAAAGCAAATATTTACTGCAAAAGGACCCATATCTAATCTATACGATAGGAAGCCTTGGGTTTTTTAAACTGTAGGGTTTGATTTCAGTCCTTACACTATACAAAATTTCTGTGCTAGGTTCCTCCTTGGTTTCAGAATCATTTTGACCCTTTACAATTTTTCTGTTAGACTATCTAAATATTTAATTTTTGAACAGGGGGTCAGGAGCAGGGGGTACCACTCACAGTAAGCTAACAAATGCTACAGTTCTTCATAATCAGTAGACCAGTATCTACAGCCCTGTACCTGGTATAAGTATATGAAGAGACTGGCATGAACTAGGAATTGAATATGAAAGAATGCTAACATTAGCAGGACACGCATCAAGGAAAAATAGAAGAATAACTCTGTTCTCACATCCATCAGTAAGGGAAGACGAGTAACTCTCTGCATGGGAAGAATGAGGAAAGAGATCATTGGTAAATTCCGGCAGTCTTCATGGGACTCGATCCTTGATAACACCTCTTTAAATGCTGGATTTGTGGCTCTGGTGGGAAAAAGGGGGAGAGAATTAAACGTATGTTTTACCAAAGAATTGTGAAAGTTGCTAGATTTTAAATAAATCACGATTTTATTAATAGGAAAATGCAGTTTGAAGGAGTCACAGCAACTAAGCTTTATTTACTTAGATAAGCAAGACCAGTATTGACATTTAGAAACCTCAAGTTCTCCCATACCTGAATGTGAGTGCAGACAGACTCATCCGTAACACACAATGAAAGGACACCTTTGACATTGATTAAACTGCACTTATCAGTGGAAAGGGAATGCAACACATGACCACAAATAGGATTGGACTATGCAGCCAGGCATGTTTTCACTCTCAATTACTTCAAAGGAACTTATACATGAAGGACAGCTAAGCATGTAAGTACATGCTCAGTTGGAAGCCATAGGTTTTGCACCAAATACCACAGCCTACTACTCACTCCTACAACAGAGGGGGTGATTTTGCAATCATATTTTAAAATTAGTTCTTACAGTAACTTCTGCAGTGTTCGCTGCTGATAGACTTCATTGGTGCAGTACTTTACATAAGGATCAAATGTTGAAGAAGTATGCTTTTCAACTATATCACTAATATCATCAATAAAGATGTTGTTCTGATGTCTTGCTTCAAGTTCTTTAAAGAACCTGTGAAAAAAAGAAGATAATTTAGTCACTTTTACAAAAAAAATAGCAGACTTTCTCTTGCAACATCTTACATTTCACCTGACACAACCCGTGACTTTTATAACCTAATGACAACTTGAATGGTTTGCAAGAGGCTGAAATCATCTCTCCTTTGGCAGAACAGGAAGGGAAATCTTCACACGATACAAGTCAAAGGGTGGTGGTGTCACCTGGCAGAGCTCAGCATAAGCAATGCTGGCAAAGTTACTTCCCATTCTCTAGCTGCCAAAACCAAAACAGCATTACTGATCTGGTTAGACTAGAATTTCCAGAAACAGAGTTGAAAAAGAAATGAAACAACTTCAAGCACAAAATTAACACGTTTCCTCTTCTAATAAAGGAAGTACAATACCAGAATGTTCAGCGAAATGAAGTTACATGTGAACTGCTAAACTAAGAATGAAAAAATATACAGCAGGCTAAGCTGGACAAGGTGCTCATGTATCACATCCTTCCATCTACCATTAAAACCAAACACAGATTGGAAAGAGTCAAAATGGGAACGGAAACCAAAATCCTGAGCTTTTTCCCGTAAACATGCTTGTTCTAAGAACTTCCTTATTGTTCATCCCCTGTTCCATATCCGAGTTCCTTTGGCCTCTGAAAGCTTTCTACTCTTCTTTGCACATCTAATTTTACCAGAAAACAAAAGCCTTTATTTCCACAATGCTCATTAGACATATTTTACTGTTTGGGGTGTAAGAGCTCACGCAGATTGGCCCTGATCTATTGCAGGTCATTAGAGTTACCTATGCTGGCACTCTGACATCACTGCAATCCTTAAAAACCTAGAAGCTGCTGAAAATCTCTCCAATAATAGTCTTGCTGCAGCCTTTATAAAAGATGATTCACTAGAACAATCCTGAACTCCCTAGAGTAAATCAGCTAATAAAAACCCCCTCATATAGCACAGAAAATTCAAGGAAATACTTGGAACACATGATCTCAAGATAAAAATATTTTGAAAGATGTTTTATTGTGGCCCTTTATTACATGTTTTAGTTACTAACACTAGCTCTTTAAAAATCTGTCTCCTTGCAGCATTTCAGATTTTTTGTGTGCCACCAATGTTCTCCACAGTTTGTTTCACAAACCTCAAACAAGTAAGGAGAGGTGAACACGATGAACAGAAGCTTATCATACAAGTGTTTAACAACACGGGTTAACTAAAATTAAGACATTTTTTCAGGTGTGCTTAGAAGCAGCTGCCTGAATTGAGCAGTTGCCAGATTCTCACTCGGTCAACCACACAGGCAGAAGAATCAAGTGTGGGGTTTTTTTTGTTTTGGTTTTGGATGTTTGGTTTGTTTTTGTTTTTTTAAAGTTCTGACACATTAACTGCAGACTGAACTGACTGATGTTTATCAGCACTGTCATTTAATGAAAAACAGAACACTGCCTACAAGTAGATAGAATGCTGCCTACTACAGTGCACAGTTTTTTTCTTGCTCTTCCCCTTTCAGTGGTGCAGCAGTATTTTTTAATAGCCTTGCCGCTTTTGGAAGGCAGAGTCCTCCTCCACCTATCTTATTTCAATGCACAAAATATTGCAAGTTGTTGGTGACTTTTATTATGCTACCTATTTGGGGGTTTAGTATCAAGAACAGCACTAGCTGGCAAAGCATGCTAAGCTGCAATGAGGTCTCATACAATACATGGACAAATGCTAAAGTTAACAGTTGCCTGAAATTTCACTGGGGTCCAAGAAGGACGGGG